GTGGAGATTCAGACCTTGTACACAGAACAAAGCTGTAACTGGAGCATAATAAAGGGAGAAGTGAACTCTGGTCCTCCTCAGCCTTTTTCTTATTCACTCTCTTAATGACCACTGAGGAAGGTAATTAATACTGCAGGTGCTGCCTGGAGTCGGGGGCAGTGCTGTTCCCCTTGCATTGACTGTAGGGGAACTGACTTCATACCTCCACTTACTGCGGCAATACTGCCTGCTCCTCACACAGGACTGATGTCACGCAATCCAGGAAGTGGCTTTAGAGCAGAACAATCTGTGTTGGCTTCCACTCTGAAGAGAAATGGAGGTGGCGGGATTGGGCATGAGGTACCTGGGAGTTCATTTGGGAGATACTAATCCACAAACAGATATATCAAAGTAGTTCGAGTTTCACTCGTAAATATCACAAAAGTGACATTGGAAAGTCATTCAAAAATATTTGCTTCGATTACAATTCGAGAGATTCCTCTTCCTGTTAAAAGCTTGAAGAGTAACCTTTGGGGATTTTTAACTAATCTTCATTCACTATGTGATTCGGAAGCCCTCGTCTGAAAGAAAAACGAGGCATTAATCTTTAAAAGTTAAACCTTGCTGAACGTGCAATAAGACTGACCTCTTTCAACTTGTATTTTAAACCACCAGCGTACGTGGTAATTATTCTAAAGCAGTACTTTAAATGTCGAAAATATCAAACTTATTTTCTTAATGTGTGCGATTTCAGCCCGCAGGCACAGAGTACACGTGTTCTCTCATCTGTCTGCAGCTCCTTCATTAGCGCCAACATCGCAGGCTTCTCGATCACACGCCTGCTTACGCGACACTGTCTCATTCGCATTCTGGTGCTCTAATGTAGCGGGTTTGTCTCTGCAACACGACTAATCAGTTCATTGATCTGAAATTACACGTGTAGCGCAAGTTAAGACGTAATTTGAGTGGATTTAGGATTCCTGTTAAACGAAATGTAAAATAAGAAAACGACAGATTGAAAGGCCTGCCTACATTTTCTAAAATGTCATAATGCCCTATGTGATTTAACAGTAAGGCAAAACCACATTTGACTAAGAATACGTTATCAGCCGCGATTTAGTCCTAGCCTGAGGTGGACTGGATTTTGCTGTAGTTCTACATTTCTATTTTCTCAAAATCCTTCACAGCCAGCACTGGGACGACAGGACGCCATTTAAGTTAGAAATTGGGTCATAATGCGTAATTACAACAGAACGTACTGACTCAGCCGGAGAAAATGGAAACATGAAATAAAAGAATACGTAAAACATCACCGGTTCCTATTTGGACAGTTTTCAACAGACTCGGCGCTGTTTCCTGATCGCTGCTATGATCTTCCCCGACTCTCGCGCTCTATCCGGGCTCCTCAGTACGAGCGGACACGGGGTTTGTTCACGTGAGAATCTGCTTTCTCTGTCGGCAAACCTGAACCCCATTAAGAGAGAATATCTGTGTGCCTTTAAAAA